AAGTTGTTAGGCAACAAATCAGACACTTGCATGATCACAAATGTTTTAAATTCTGCAGGATTAAATCTGGAGGGTGAATGTGACTTTGTTTTTATAAGCATGATGACTTCTTCATCCGGCTTAAAGGTGTAGTGGAGGATTTTTGTGAATTTTCTAAAAGATCTGTCCTTACCACATTTAAAAAAAAATTATGCATGTGCACAACCCTGTACCCACTACCGAGAGGGAACGCCTATTAAACGCCTGCCAGAGCATGCACGAACCCCTTTTTTTCCTCATGCACGCTCTGTTTAAAAGTTGCTGTTTGCATCACTCATACAAGTTTACTTTCCAAAAGAAGATTTGCAATTTTTACACTATGTGAGATTCACCACTGATAAGTGAAAATCGGGACAAGCACGTAGGACGGCCTTACGTAAACATATAATCAGACTGATTGACAATTAGGAGGACCACTTATTTTGATTCTCACACCGTAAAACGAACATCCTCCACAGTACCTTTAAGGGTTCACACCCTATGTTCTACTCTGTCCAGTAGTGGATGGACCACCTTTTGCTTTCAGAGGAACGCCAAAATATCACTTAATTCAGACCGGAATAAAGATTACATTTAAAATGAAAGTTAAATGATAGTTTTTAATAAAAAGAAAACACAACACACGCTTTAAATCATGCAGACTTTTTGGAAACTCTGCTTTTGGCTGCTCAAAATAACTTCAATGACAAAGCCCAGGGTGCTTCATCAGTTACTTGGAAAATCCGCCAAGTCAGGATTTGTCGGAACCATTTCCAAGATAAAAAAAACTAAAACAGAACAAGCTTGATTTTATTATTTTTAGCCCCAACTTTCTTCAGCCAAAATGAATATATTCCCATGTGTAAATACTACATTTGATAACTGTCATCTAAAACCACCACAAAACAAAAGCATTTTTTCTTATCAAAGCTAATTAGTATTACTTTTTTTTTTTTTTTACAGAAGAGGTTTTTTATCTTTTCACACACAGGAAAATAATTTGACCTTTGTGAGCCCATTGAAGAACACACGCTAATAGAAATGACTTTTGGCATTTTAAGCAACAATCACGCTGACTGGGGTGTCTACTTTAAACCAGACAGATAAAACATCAAAACAATTCAAAGCTAATTTAGATCATCTTAAAAAAACAAAACTGTTGTAATATAAAAAGCTTTAGTGATGGAAAAAAATAGATTAAAACTTTGCTGGATGCTCAACAACAGTTTCATCAGGATGTGACTTTTGCGCAAACACTCTGCCAAAAAGACTGTACAGGAAGCACATCTCCCCCAAGACTGAATGCCATGAAAACAAAGCCAACACTTCCATCCTCCATTCTTTAGTTCCAAATACACCAAGCACCTGCCAGGACTGACTGCTGCCAGCATAGCACACAAAACAGGTCATTATTTGGTCAAACAGAGAGAAGTCTTGCTAAGAGGGTCCTATTTTTAGTACGAGCCTTCAGCAGGAAGTGTTGGTGGAAAATGGCTGGACTGTGCTATAATACTGAAAGGTAGAAAAAAAATAAGAAACATCATAGAAAGTGGCATAATACAGTTTTCTTCACAACTGATGACATACTGCATAAGGAGGAAGAAAAATATATATATAACTTTTAACAAAAATCTGACCTAAATTAAAACAAATGTATTCAGCTGGAGGAAAAAAAATGTTTAGATATATTTTACCAGAATCACTTCTTCCTTTAAAATAAAAATATAACTGGGCCTTTTATTAATTTATGTTTTACTTCTTTTTACTGTTCAGCGTAAACCTACAGCTATGATTTCAATTGGTATAAATATAACACATATCAAAGGCTACGTTCACACTGCAGGCCTTGATGCTCAATTCCAACTTTTTTGTGAAATCCGATTTTTTTGTGTTGTCGTTCACATTTCCAAATATGTGCGTCTTGTATGTGATCTCCTGTGTGAACTGCAGACATACAATGCAAGTGCCCCGCATGCGCAGTAGAGGACACAATGACGTCACAGGCCAGTGGCTCTGTGTTTACGGACGTCAACATGGATGGTAGTGCCGGAGCACATCTAGCGATTCCCAACCATAAAAACTCAATGTTTTCAAGATGGTTAAACATAAATACTACTCTCTGCATCATCGTCTGCCGTGGTTGTTGTTTTTCTTGCTGCTTCTTCATAGCAAGACCCAGAATAGTGACCTTTGTCGGGTATTAATGGGGTTAAGGTCGGATGAATGCGACCTGGACGTTCAGACACAGGTCGCATTTGAAAAAATCTAATTCATATCGTTTTCAGAACCACAAAGCCAAGTGGCCTGGGTCACAACGGAAAAAAATATCGGATCTGTGTTGTTCAGACTGCCAGGAAAAGATCAGATCCAGGTCGCATATGGGCCAAAAAATTGGATTTGGGTCACTTCAGGATGCTGTGTGAATGTAGCCAAACAGGCCCACATCTTTTGGTCACAAAATGGAAAAAGATAAGGACGGATGCCAATTAGGAAACTATGGATGCATTTTGAAGACAACTCATATCTACTGCATAATCAGAGCAAAAATTTGCAGTTTAAAGCAACTGAAGTGGAAAATACCAGGCCTGGAGAGGGATAGTATGGTGGAGAATGTATGATGCTGTGGGCTTACTTCTCTTCCAAAAGACTGGGGAGCACACTAAAAATAATTTGGCATCACAAAAATATTTGAAATGAGAGAAAACTTGACACAAAGATCTGGTGGTTTCTGTTAGAAAATTAAAAATGGATCTAGATTAGATCTCTTAGCAGGATAGCTTAAAAACAATATGGCTAAACCGACACAGAAAAGGATTTCTATAAACAAGTTTCGGTGTCCCAGTGAAAGCCTCAGATTTAAGCCTGGTTGCAATTCCCATGACCCAAAAGACTGAGAATACACACAGGCAACAAGTAGGAAAAATACATAATTATTAATAAGAATTTATACATAAAAGGGTTAAAGCAAAACAGTAATTCCTAAATAACTGTATTTCGGGGACAGAATGGCCTCAAATTCTGTTCAAATGGGCCAGGCTGTGATTCAGAAGTGAAGAGTAGTCGTCCAACAATCTGACTGATTCTGGTTGAATTATGTCATAAACTGCGTACCAACCTGAGAGCAACTGTACAGGTGAGTTTAACTGGCACTTTAAGTTGTAAGGTCAGAAATGTTCTGTTGCAATCAGCACCAATAAAATGAGATGTTTACTTCCCTGCACTGCATCATTAACTATCATCAGACAGCGTACTCTTTTTAAATTCCTTGTGCAGCGCTTTTAATCAGCTTTAAGCAACTGGAGAAAGAATCAAATAAGATGTAATTTCTCCACCTGATTATCTGAAACATAATTATCAACAAATTACCTCTTTCCTTAGTAGCCTAATGAGCATCTGAGTCTACAGAGTGCTTGATAAAACTCAGAAAGTGAGATATAAAATAGTGGTCAGCCTCAGTCTCTTGCTTCCTTATGCAGTTCTTCAATCTGAGTTTTACCAATGTCTCAGCAGAATGAAGGGTTCAAGTGGACCCACCACTGCAGTGATAGACCCTGTGATGTGGTCACAGAACCAAAGCAGACATGGCATGGAAGGGAGAATTGGGATTATTGGGCATATTTGACTCGGACCTCATCTACCAACGTACAGGCCACAAAAGTCAAATGTAGACAATTCTGCCATTTTCTTTTTTTCAAAAATTACTTATCTTACTTTACTGTTGTAACAATAAATCTAAATTCTTCTCATGAGAATAAATGTATAGATGATATCAACAAATTATATGATAATTGCCGAAACCCAATCCTCTGATGGAGAAAGTCTTACTACTTCATGATCCTGCAAAGGCCGCTAATGGTAGCAAAATCACACTAGTTTTATAAATGGAAAACCACACACAAGGAAATGTGGATTTATTGCAAATTAAATCTCTGTAATTGTCTAAAATGTAGGGTTAGGGCTGAATAATTATTTAAATAAATTGTTCCACTTTATTTTCAGTCCAAATGATAACAACATAACCATAAGTAAAACATCTTTTACATCATTTTGATGAATGCAACCTTAAAGGTATGTTTTAATTTCTTCTGCCTGTTTTGGAGGCTAAGCAGCTGTTGCCACTGTTGGTCATTATATTATGAGACTTTTTTCCAGAAGAATTATATTTTTTGTTTTCAGGCAAACAGGGAGGTTTTTAAGAGTCATTAAAGATATTATGAAGTCATTTTTTTTTCTTTTCACTAATAGCCCTATTTTTGCTAAGGGCAAAGAAAAAACAGAAAACAATAAGAAATGGAGGAAACCCTAATGTTTGAACAAAATATCCTCCTTCGAAAGTGCAACAGATGCTTTTGCAAACCTAATGAATAGTTGTTTTAAATGACTGCTGTAAATGAATAATGATGAATATTTATGAACACATATGCGCTCTGGAGGGTTTGCTTTTCAAACAAGGACTGTTATTCCAATATAGAAAGAAAGCTAAAAGGTTTCCTCCTAAAAATATCTTAAAACGTTCTTATAAAAAAAATGTCTAAAATATTTGGCTGCTTTTCAACAATTTTTAGGGACCTTTATAATTACTAATGTAGAGTTGTGAATGAAAAATTTCACTTCAAGTATTGACTAGTGCTTTATTTCCATCCTCTTATGAGTATTTTAACACAAATGTATTCTAACAGGCGCAAATAGAGTCAAACAAGTGCATCATCCATTATCCTCAAGATGCTGAAAAAGGCCGTATAACTGAAGCATCAGGTTCCGCCTCCTAGCTCCCCACGCAAATGCTTTAACACATTTTTAGAAGAAAACAGAGATTTTAGCAAAACCCCTCGACACTCTGCTTGACCATTTCTAGCCGATTTAAAACCACTTTAGTAAATTATTCTGTTTTTAACATTTAAACACCCTTTTCAGTTATCAGCAACCTCTTTAAACCTTTTATATTCTTAACTTCTCCTTCATAAAAACAAAGTTCTTCTTACCTTGCTTAGTCAGAGCTTCCCTTAGAGCAGGGGTGATCATCTCTCTTCTTTCCTCTTCACCTTCAGTCTTTGACACTCCGTTCAGTTTGGACAGCTTCACCATCTGGCCGTTTACCTGATCCTCCTTCCTAACCTGAAAGAAATGCAAAACCTTGACTTAGTTATTCTTTTTAGGCACTATTAGCCTTTTATTTTTATTATTTTGAAAGTTGGCAGAAAGGAAATGGGATTAGGAGAGGGGCTGTAAAAGTTATTTGGTCGGCACTCAAACCAGTGGGAGCTGCACTAAGGACATAAGCCTATATATATTATTTATTTCTAGTCTTATTCCTTAAGGGTAACTGTTAGCTTCATGTGTTGGGATTATACTAAACTTTTCATAGCTGAGTTGGATGCTTTGGAGAATCTCAAGATTGTCACAACTGGAATCAGCGTATCAGATTCCATGTTCACCCAAAAATGTAATAATTCACTAATCCTTCTTGCTTTTCTTTAGCATCCTTGTAGGTTTATTTATTTTTAAACAACATTTTATGACCAACATTTCGGTTCTATGAGTTACATTGCTTACTGATTTTGCTTCCAATAGCTTACATTTATTTGACAAATTAAACAGAGTTTGAAAGAACCGGACTGTTTTATGGCATTTCTGTGCTTTATGGCTCAGTTTTAGCTTCACTTTACTCTTTTAGGAAACCTTGATGCATGTTTTTCCAGATATTAGAAGGTTATTTATGAAGACCTAAACTCAGTTAACTTAAAAAAAAAAGTGCTTAATGACTATTAAAGGTTCTATTAAATACAACATTGAGACATGCAATATAACTATCAATGTGCGTAATTCTGCAGTCCCAACAAAACTGCTCGGAGTCAATGTTTAGTAGGTAATTAAATTACCTGAGTGGTAACCATAGATGGTATAATATAATGCAAGTTGCAAGAACTTTAACTGGGCTTTATGTCCACTCCTAAAAAGAGGCAAATGTTCTGAAAGTGTGGTCTAAATTGGACAAAATAGAGGAAAACAAAGGTTAAGTACAACAAATAATGGCCTAACAATTTTCAAAATTTGATTTTTTCCTAATTTGCATTCCATACTTTAATAAAATAAATAATTGTTTCTACAAGTAGGAGCTGTTTCTTCTTTTGCTGTTAAATCCGATTAGTTTGAGAGATGAACACCTGATTCCATTTCTGCAATAAGCACCAAAAGTTCAACATTCCAGAGACATCCAGTGTTTCACAAGGAGAGGATCAATAATCCACAGAAAAGCCACCAGAGAGCAGGAGCAGACATTACTTTTCAGAAAGGTGTGATTAAGGGGCTGCCTTTAAGAACGAACCCGTTTTAACGACAACTTCTCCCAATTAGAGTACAGCTGCCACTTTCTCAGCTGGTCCATTGGGATTTAAATGTCACTGGGTCGCCTCAGCAGAGCTCATAAAAAGATGGGATTGTGTCAGCAAATGTAGCTGAATGTTCAAACCATAAAGACTTTTAAACTACACCTGATACAGTTTGCAGATATTTGTGTAGCTTGCTGCAGGAGACATTCTACATGAATAAGAAGTTAAGGTATAAAAACTTTAACAGCAGAGAGAATATAACAAGTACAAGGATGTCCTTACAGTTAGGACTTTCTAGGAAAAAAATGGTAAAATCATTTTTAATCCTTGCATACTCTAAGGATTCATTTGTAGATAGAACTGCAGGTTTCTGAAGTTCTCCTAGGTATAGAGGACGATCATTTATCTCCAGGTGGGTCATCTAAAAAAAGTATCCTCCTAATTGTCAATCATTCTGGTGATATGTTTACGTCAGGCCTTCCTACGTGCTTGTCCTGTTAACTATATTTTTCTGTGCATGTTCACTTTCAGCCATATATATATGTGGTGAGCTACGCTTTCAGAGAGTCATCAAAGCTCAGCTTTCTCACCGCGGTTCTTTGAAAACGGCCGAGGCTGGTAAGAGAAAAAGAGTCTACCAACTGTATAAGAAGAAAAAAAAGGCCTCAGAAGAGAAAGATATATCCCAGAATGCTTTGCGCGGAGAGCTCTCCTCGCAAAGCATTATAGGATTTGCTTTGACCAAAGGGGAGAGAAAAGCACATCTGTCCGAACGGTCAGTTAACAGAGTGCACTCTAAAGTCCACTATATAGTCCCCGCTCTATATAGTGATTGAAGGTATTTAGTATAGTAACCTGACTCCGCCAGATGGATGTGCTCCGCATATCCATCTGGAAACCTTCCGTTGAAGTAATTTTGGGAAGGGGCGAAAATACTGGTTAGCTGATTGGCCTATGTTGGTGATAGACGGGCCAAATAAAACAATCAGATCAACGAAGCATATGACGTACTAACAGAGCGACGACGAAAACACAACCACAAGCCAGGCTACTCTTGCCGAAACCAGTCGGGAGAATAGCAAAAACATCTTTTCCTCTGAGAAAAGCCTCCAGAGCAGTGTTTTGCTCTTCTTTCAGTGAAGAAATACTCTAATTCCGATAAAACTTGCTCGATAGCAACGCTAACGCTAGTTTCATCGGCTGAAGCCGCCATGTTCTTTAGACTGAACTGTCGCGCTTCTCGTTGCGTCACACCTCAACCCGCCTCAAAGCCAACGCTGATTGGACGTTCGTTTGGTTAACGGCTCCAAATTTTCTTTAACGGAGAGTCTCCAGACTGATCTGCGAGTGAAAACTTGAAAGCTCGCGAGATCAGGATGGTCTCACGAGGCTAATTTAGTAGGGGTGTAAATAATAATCGTTTTGTATCGATGCATCGATCCAACAGCCGACGATCCGATGCATCGATACGTCCGCAAGAGTATCGATTCAAGTTTTTTTTCTCCTCCGGTCTATTTTTTTCCATTTGCTCCTGGACGTATTTCTCCCTCCCGTGCTGCGGTGGCGCTAAACCTATTTTGTCCTCCTACCTCGCTTCCTGGTTATACTCTTACAGCAGTGTGTTGGAGTAAGCTTGATATAGACATTTGTGATTTATGCTCAATGTTGAAGTGTGGTCTGTGCTACACACTGTGGGTCTAAATACGGCTGAGGCGGTGAGGAAGAGGGGGTGAGTTAAATCCGACGACGGAGGGACATGAAGGCCAATAAGAGCGGAGATCCAGGTGGAAAAAGGATCCCAGCGTTCTCGCGCACCTCGCTCTTTTAGCAGGTCAAACTTCAAGAGTTGTTTTCGAATTTCGGTCATAAAAACAAAACAAGCCGGCCTCCTGTCTGCGTCACTGAGGTATTGCATGGCACTCATTGCACTGATTTTATGCAGTATTTTTGCAGTATTTTTTGATGCAACTTTTCTACTTCTGTTATTTGCTGTTGTTTCTCAAAAAAATGCATAAAGATATTACAGCTTTCATTGATTTATTTCAAATTTGAAACATTGTCTAGCCTGTAAGGTAAAAAAAAAAAAAAAATGAACCAATTAATCGAATCGAATCCTATCGTGGTTTATTCTTGACCTCTTCTAAATAACCTTCGATGACTGAGTATTTACATCTCCAGGGTAGGTGTCCTGCAGGTTTTATATCTGCCGGATCTAAACACCTTATTCAAGTGATTGATTTATCTCCTCAGCCAGACACTAAGGCCTGCATTCGCCTGCTAATGACTAAATAATTTCAAATCATTTCTCATCAGGGACACATCTAAGGTATTATATTACAATACCACTTAAATTAAATGAAGAGTGACACTTTGGAAGCTAAATAATTGTAACTAGGCCTGCAACTGATTATTATTTTGCAAATCGATTAATCTGTTCATTATTTTTTCGATTAAATGATTAATAATCAGATAGTGAAAGGTTCTTTAAAAAAATAAAAAATACTAATATAAACCAGGTGAAACTCAAACTTCACCACTTATGGAGTTCTAGATAGAGCATTTTAAAAAGGATCACATAGCAAATCAAATAAGTGAATGAAGGAATGTAATTTTCCGTATCCTTTGGCAACAGAACCGTTTCCAACAGAACGCCATCATTTTAATCCCCATTAGCACAGACGATCTGAAGCTCATGAACTAAACTCTGAAATACTTTACTACCTCATGTCTACTTTCTCCCTCTGGACATTATATCGGGAAAGTGAGCCAAGAAAACTGTGCAGTTTGGTGTAATGATCCAATTCAAACTACTCCTACCTGGCAACCGTCCCACAACATGAAACTGAGCTTTTTGGCAGGAAATCAGCATCCTTTGTTACAAACCCACAACCATTTTTGTAAAACATTTAGTCCAACAATGGAGATGCTGGCATTCTGCAGGATATAAACAAAACCAGTGACTAATATTGATTAACTTTTGGGAGTATGAAGCCATGCTCAGCTTCTAATGGATGCAGGAAAGCAAGCCTTTGAGGCGAAAAGCTGCAGATCTGTGTTCAGCACAAACTTTAACAGTGATCCATTTATCCTAATTTCAGCTGAGCTGCAAATGAGGTAAGAAAAGCTCTCAGTTTAAAGGTCCTTCTAAATGTCAACATGTCTGATAAGTAGATGCATGATCAGGGAGGTCAAAATAGAGATTTCCCAGGATCTTTCCACTGAGAGGAGATTCAAGCTCAGTCCCAGAACACTCTGGATGGACTCATGACAAGATTTTATAAAATCTCTTGTTGAGGTTATTTTCTGATCAGTTTTTGACTATCAGCCACCAAAATCCATCTAACCCAGGGCTTTTGTCGGGGAAAGAAAACTAAGCTTATTTCAGGGTTTGGAAACAGAAACTGAGTGAATCAAGTTGCCAACAGCCAAGTTTCTGTCATCACCTATTGGACCAAAAAAAGCCAAAGTAATTTTATCCCCAGATCCCATACCTAAAGTCTATTTTATCCAGCTTTAAAAATGACGGCAAATACAATTTAATGCGTCTCCCAAACATCTGGTAGATTCATTTTTTCCCCCAAAACATCTGAACTTCTGCACATAAGCCGCCTTTTGGCTTTAAATTAACCATAACGCTTTATTCAGGCAGAATTTTCTCGGTCACACAGTTTGCCTAATTATGCGCTGTCTCTAGCAAATGTTTAATGCTCCAACTAATTACATCCTACATTGAAAACTCAGCGTGACCAAATTATACAAAATTAATAATGACTTGTGATCAAAGAC